CAAGTATATGTGTATGGTGTATGTATATATGTGAAAAACACTGGTGAAGGAGCTTGAAAATCACAATGCTAGAAAAACCAACAAAGGTAGATTGTTTTAATGCATGCACAGAAACAGGGAAAGGGACTTTCATGGGTCACATCTGCAATAGATTATTTCCCTCTAAAAGCTAAATTTTTAGGCTTGTGTGTAATTTTTAGGCTTGTGTGTAAATGTACTGCAGGAATCAGATGTTCTGAAGTTGTCAATGCTTACTCATGTAGGTTCCTGCTTAACCAAAATAAGTACCAGTATGTTATATTTGTCACCAAAATCTAAGCAGGGAAAGCAAATTCACAACACTAGGAGTTGCCAAATCTTTTTACTTTTAGCTTGAAGACCATAAGACTATTCCATCTTTCATCTCACTAAACAAGAGGCCACAGGAAATAAAAGGCAAACCGCAGGTTCCCAATTGACACTGGAGCTAGTTAAAAGATTACAGAATTGTCTATACTTTGAACAGAAATTAAAGAGTAACGAAGACAACTTAGGGACAGAATAACTATCCATTAACAACAAAATTCCAAAGTTGAAGTCAAAAACAAATGGTTACACATTTTAATGTTTGGTTTTGTTTCAGGTTTTTCAAAGTATATTTTAAATACCCCACTGCACACTTTTTTCTTTTTGGTGATGGTGCTGAAGATCAAACGCAGGGCCCTTGAGCACGGTGGACAAGTACCAATAAACTACATCCCCTAGCCCTTAATCTTTTCACATAATTAAAATTCTGAAACTAAATACAAGTTACCCAAACAGCAAGGTGATGCATGCAGAGCTGACCTGACACAGACTGTTCTGATTAAAAAAAAAAAAAAAAATTGTTGTTGTTTTAATTCCATAAGCATCATGACCACTTGCACTTAATTTTCACTACTACCCCCCCCCAAAAAATCCATGTCTGGACTGGCACAAAAGGGGTGTTCAAACATTAAATTTGTTACAGAAACCCTAAAGTGATTCTGTAAAACTCATGCCATTTGTAAGTACAGTGTACACTGCCCCTTTCATCACTGTTGAAGCTTTTGAAAGGGGAGCTTACATTTCTAACATACTTTTGAAAACCTCCCTATGAGTCAGTTAGGTACATTTGAAGTAGCATATCCTATTTTGTTACTGAGCTCTCTCTGAAAAATAGAGTCTTTGAAAACTCTTGGTATTCTCAGTTTCCAAATCTTACAGTAGTAACAAATATGTGTATGCCAAGTCTCCATTATAAACAGATCTGCTTTTCTAGTCTTAATTTTCCTGAACATTTCTTATTCGCTAACAAATCAGGTTTTCCTATTACTACCTCTTAAAAACACACTTTGGTCCAGCTCACAAGGTCTCCCCAGCCCCCACACCTCTTTTGTATGTAAACACACTCTTGTCACACACGCCATCAGCTGTTTAGTAGCTCCACCCCTCCTCCTTTTCCGGGTAGTAACAGAGCAACCAATGAGCTGCAAGGAGCTCTGCCTGTGGCCTTTTGCCTGCATACGCTTTTCCAAAACAAGCAGCTCTAGCCTTCAGCAGGGGCCACTGGTTCACAGATAAAAGGATCACCAGGGCTGTGCAACAGGGTGAAACGAGTAACCCCCACCAACAAGGAAACCCATGTAATCTGAGCTCTTTGTTCCTCCACTGGGGAGAACTTAAACCGATATTCCTTTAGGGCAAATCACGCTTTAAGGTCACCGGAGTCCCAGTTCTCAGGCAATCTAAATCAGCGAGTTGAAGATGGAGAACCTCGGAGGTTGCCAGGTTGAGAACAGCACAGGATCACCAATCCACCTGACTTTGCAAACAAATGGCCACACTATTCCACAGGATTTGGGCTAGCTGCAAGCTCTTAGATGTGGACACATTACTACAGCACTCAAAAGTCATGTAAATCAGTTTCTAGGTTCCTAGGGAGGTTTGCACAACCCTTAAGCAGAGGATCAGAAAGGAAACAATGAATGAGTCAGAGTTTCAGAGCATAATCGCCCAGCAGATTATTAAGTGCATCCGTGCAAAACACACTCACTCCCTGCATAACTTGGGAGTCAGCTCTCCTCCTACCAACCCGTCACAAAAGAAATATCACTGACTCCAAAAAACAATCAGAGATGGTATCTGGAAAGAACCTAGCAAGGTGGCAGAAAGCAGTGGCCAATTAGTTACACATCCTCTTCTTTCCCTACCCCCACACCGCTACTTTCCTACTATATAGGTTCCCTGCCAGGCTGTAAATCTTGGTGGTATAATTATGCTCAGGAGACAGACAAAAATGGGCTGAAACAGGAGATTGCAATGAAACCAGCTATCAGCCTCTACACCAAGGAAATCATCAAGGGGCAGTGAGGGCCAAGGAGTAAGTAAATTCCTTCAGACCTTTTCTTTCCATTTCCTCTCCACCATCTTTCATTTCCAATCCTTAGCCCTTTCACACAATCATACTCATTTTAGTAATGGGTTGGAGAATTTTCCCTTCAATTTTTTACTAAATATATCTTACTAAAAAATTGTGGGCCCCATTTGGGCCTACTAATGTGAATTCAAGAGAGAAAGGAGGCCACAAAAATCACTCACCCCCACAACATACACATACACACACACACACACACAAAAGGAAAGCAGAAAAATTTTAACTTCCAAACTAAATTACACCAGAAAATAAACACAAAATAAAGATAACCTCTGGCTTTTAAATACCCAGACTATTATCCTCCTATCTCAGAGATCTACAATTTTAAAGCGCCTCAGCTTTCTTTTGTCAGCAAGAAGGAAGGTGGGGAAAGAACAGAAGGCCAATGCATCTTTGCCTTTCTTCATCTTCTACTAAAAATAAGCTATGAAATAAGCCACTTAGGGGGAGGGAAAAAAAGACACCCTGCTGTTCTTTGTCTGTTTTCCTCTCCCTCTCCACCCCCCACACCCCAGCTCCTAAATGCGGTAATCATTCTAGATGCCACAACTACTAAATGAACAAAAGGCACTGTATGGAAAAGGCATCAGGTCAAGTTAGGCCTCACTCTTTATCCTCGATTTTTTTTTTTTTTTAATCTCTATATGTACATAATTTGAGGCTCTGACATCGATCAAAAACACCTGGAATTCTCTCCCTCACTCTATCCCAATTATCCCTTAGGTAGAAATTTGCATTAGGTGTGACAGTAACTCTGAAGATAAAAATACCTCAAGACTCTGCCACCCTGTCATTTCCTAGTTTCTAAACAAAAATAAAACCCCAAACTGCTTTGTGTAAAATGTACACACAGTAATAGAAGTTTTCCTGCAACCTTATGAAAAGCCAACGTTACTAGTATCATTCACACATTTACAAAACAATCACAGCTACAAACAGCTCAAAGAGTTGCTTTCACTTGTGTCTAGACATATTTGGTACATTATTATTTGCTGCTCCCTAATCCCTGCTACTACTCCCACCCCACCCCTGAAAAAATTCTAAACTTGAAACCCTAGATTTAGAAATTTATCAGGTATTCCTAATTTCTAGCCAATTTCTATCCCCAGCAAGGAGAAAACACCTTTTTATTCCTGAAAAGATTATGAAAAAAAAATCTCAAGAGCCCAGGCAACTTCACTCCCATCCCCCACTTTCATATCATATACAAAAACTACTTTTTAAAAACTTTACCAAATTCCATATTAAGCATTTGACAATCATCATTGATCTCTACAAAGAGATAAAATAGTCGATCAAAAACAGTAACAAATAAAAGAGTAATTCACCTGAAGAATCTAACCAAACAACTTGAGTTATATAAACAAAACCCTGCAACAGGGGGAAATGGAGGGGGGATGGGGGTGAAGCAGAAAGAGAAACAGGAGACAGGACTTTTTAACTGCTTTTCACAAGCTACCACCCCCCATTCCCTCTTCCCCCTCTCCCTAGGGATTAGCTATTCAGAACAGTGGCTCACCCCACCCTCTAAATTCTCCCTCAAAAAAAAAAAGAATCCCTTGATTTGTCTCAGGAACCTTCGCGAATTTCTCTAGCTGGTCATGAAATAATCAGTCTGGCCTCCAACCAAAACCACTGCCTGAAGGACTCTTATCAGTTACAGCTTTCCCACTGCAACCTGGAGTTTATAAGTTGGGGGGAGGGGGACAGGAAATAAAGGGTGTCACTTGGCAAGACAGGGCAGGCAGTCCAAAAGAGCCTGACCCTCACAGAGGGAGTTTTGCTCAAAAGGATAGTACAGGGACTATTTTGTCCAGGAGCTCGTCTTTCTCTCTTTCCTCCCAGCTGTCAGATCCACAATATGGAGGGTGGCTAGCTGGAGGGCCTGGGGGTCCTCACCGCATACAACTATGGGTGGGAGAGGCTTTGTCAGTGGAAAGGAAAACAGGAAGGTTCTCCTAGAGATCAGAAAGCTTAACAGGACTCTCTGATTTAAAACACACACAGCTCTTTATTAGAAGAGGGGCCCTGAGCAGACTACTCTCTTCCTAATATAGAAAGGAATTAGGGATAAAGGAGGTCGCTTTAGTTACCCCAGTTCAAGAAGCACTGAGCAGAAGGAATGGGGGCATCTCAAGAGAGAAAGGCTTCCCTCTAGGGAATTTCTACCTTGAGTACCTAAATCCAGGGTGAACAAACAAGAAAGAAAAACCCTGAAGATGGTTCGGTATGAAGAGAGAGGCGGCTAATCCTGCCAAAAAAAAAAAAAAAAAAAAAAGAAAAAGCCGTTTAGGGAGTCCAAACGTTGTGGAGGAAAAGTCACGGGCTCTGGGGATGCAGAGAGAGAGAAGCAACGCATATTTCGGGGTGCTGCAGATAAAGAGGAGCTGAAAAGGCCCTGGACTCCTGGGAGGTGCCAAGGAGCCGCCGTAGGCACTGGGGGAGGGAGGGCGTCTTGGACAGTGGCCTCGAGTGCCCCAAGGCCCTTTCTTGGGTTTCAGGGGTGCCCTTGGCATCCCCACACCGCCCCCACACGCAGCCCGAATTCCCCCTCCAAGAAGGATACAGCTTGACCACGTCCGTGTCCATCCGCCTCTTGCCCGGACTGGGGGATGACATGGTGTCGCCGCCGCCTCTCTCCTTTCCTCGGCCCGTCTATCACGGGCCCCGGGCCCCGGCTCTGAGGAGCCCGCGGCCGCGCCGGCTCCTCGGCGGAGGTGGCAACCCCCTGCGGTCCTCTCGGGTCCCGTCAGCCGCCGCCGCCGCCCCCCGCACGGGGAAACACCGGGCACTGTCCGGCCGAGTGGGGGTGGGGACCCCGCGGCGCCCGCCTCGGGCTGCCCTCTCCGGCTGTGGTTCCGCCGCGGCCAGGCCTCGGCTCTCCTCCGCGCGGCGCGGCGCGACGCTCCCTTCTGCCTGCTCTAGCTCGCACGTCTGCCCGCCCGCTCACCCTCTCTCCGGCTCCTAGCAGCCTCCACGACAAGCGGACGACTCCGGCTCGGTCGGCCTCTCTACCCCAGCCTCGCTCTGGGCGCCGTGACGTCACCTCTGTGACGTCATCAGATGGGCGTGTTTGGTCGTGGAAGGGGTGGGGCGCCGCCGCGGCGTGTGCTTTCCCAGAGCATTCTGGGAGATGTAGTTCCTCTTTCTCTCGGCCTCTCAACACTCTGCCCCCTCCCCCAACTTCCCCACATACTTCATCGCTTAACTGTCGTTATCATCATCATAAACGATAGTAGTAAATAATGGAAATATTATTACATTTACCTGTTTTACGATCCTCCTTGTTACATGCTGTTAAAAAGGCTATTTGGATCTGGAGGAGGCCAAGGCGTCAATTACTCAGGTGCCAAAAGCTAGGAAAATCCCACACAGGCATGTTCCCTTCACTCTGCTCATTCGTGGGGCGGAGAGAATTTGTTTGCAGGAATTGTGGACTATGGCAAGGGTTCCTCAGAGATTGCAAACTCTGTACAGATAGGGCCACTATTTCAAGGACTAGAGTCAAGGCTGCAAGGTGCAAAGGCTAGAAATAATTGAGTACTAACGTCTTCGTTCTGCAGAGTTTGAGGTAATTTCACAAAATGAGTGATTGATGGAAATACCCCAAATATGCTGTAGCTCAACACAAAGACTACTCTGCCCTGCAAACTCCTGTTCCAACCTAATAGACTCCTTTATTCATTCAATAACTATTTATTAAGCACCTTCTTCTTCTGTGTGCCATCACTTAGCTGAGCATGCTATGGTGGTGAACCAAGATTAGATTTACATGGTCCCCTCAGTATGGATCTATAGTGTAAGCATTATCTGGGAACTTGTTAGAAATGTAGAATGTTGGGGCTGGGGTTATGGCTCAGTGATAGAGCATTCCACCTAGCATGTGTGAGGCCCTGGGTTCGCTCTTCAGCACCACATAAAGATAAATAAATGTATTCTGTCCATCTACAACTAAAAAATATTTTTAAAAAGAAAGAAATGAAGGATGGAGTTTCATCTCAGATCTACTAAGCTAGAATTTGCTGTTGAACAAGGTCCCCAGGTGACTTCAATGCACAGTGAAATTAGAGATATTGTTCTACAAGGCACAGAGGAGTCATATTGAACCGAGAGCCCAACCAGACAAAGGGAGCAGAAAAGGGTATTCAGGTATCTCCCCTATTTAGATCAGATTTTCAATGCCCTCTGTTCTCAAAAGTTTTAATTATTTCCTTGCTCTGATAAGTACGTTTGTACTTTGTCAGATCAGGTGCCATGAGTTGGGTCCCATTATGTAAACACACACACACACACACACCTGGAGCAACAGCAATCTGCTAAAGTTGTACATCATTTGCTCCTGTGATTCCATCTCTCAAAAAGATCAGGTTTTTAAATTATAACACATATGTAACATAAAATTTATCATTTTAACCATACTTAAGTGCACAAACAGCATTGAATAAATTTAATGTTGCTTAACCATCTCTATTATCCATTTCCAAAACATTTTTATCAATCAAAACAGAAACTCTGTACACATTAAACAATGACTCCTCATTCCCAATTCCTCCCAGCCCTTGGTAACCTCCCTTCTGTGTTCCAAAAGAGATGGCTATTTTTACTGCTTTTAAAGGAGTTAAAAGTCAAAAGGAGTTTTCTTTCAATGCTCTTTCTTATTGCACATGGTGAATCTGTCAGAAGTAGGACAAGTCTGCATGAAGAGACTTCCAACCCCCTCTATTTGACCACTTTTACTAAGGGGAGATAAAGATGGAGTGGAGATTTATCTTCCTCACTGAGTCTTCTCTAAGCTCCCTGGGTTTCTGTTGCTGCTACCTCCTCTTTCCCGCTCTCCTTCACCTGCTCAACTCCCACTCCAAGGCTAAGACGGCGGTTCTCAAGTTTGAGAATACTCCACAATCACCTGGGGAACTTGTTAAGTTCACAAATGTCCAGGCACCTTCCCAGGGAATTCCAATTCAGAAGATCTGATCTGGGACCTGAACATCTCTGTCTTTAACAAGCTCCTCAGATGGTTCTAATACAGACTAAAGTTTGAGAACCACTGCCTTTAAGATTCCAATAGGGGCTGGGATGGTGGCTCAGTGGTATAGTGCTCTCCTAGCATGCATGAGGCACTGAGTTCTATCCTCAGCACCACATAAAAACAAACTAATATATCCACCTAAAACTAAAGATACATAAATAATATTTAAAAAAAAAAAAAGATTCCAATAGGCATCATACTTTGAGAACACCTGCCTGACCATGCAGGTAGTTAAGTATGCCTATGGTGTCCTATACAAATAGGTCAGGGACTGTGTACCCTCCATTCCTCATTCTCACCTGAGAGGAACAGTGTTGCAAGTTTAGAAGGCATCATTTGTAGATGAACAGAGTATAGTGTCCAAAACAGACAAAAAGAGGGGATACTTGAAAAAGAGGATGAGGGAGTGGGACCTAGGCATGTTCCCTGGCTCTTTATTCTTCATTGATACTGTAACTGCTATGATCCAAGTCCTGGGCAAAAATAACCAATGTGTCAGTGATGGAGAATATGTGAACAACACTGGAGAAGGTGGGACTGCTGTATCTTGAAATGCAGCGAGGTGTGGTCTCCAAGCTTGTAGAAACGGAATAGTCATGGGAAAGGAATCATCCTAAAGAAGAGTTACTGTGTCTTTAGGAAGCATTTTAGCTCTGGACTACTTGGGACAAAGCTGCCTCTCCCTGCTCTTAATTATGCCTCAGTTAATTGCATATATCCTCCCTGGGCCTCAGTCTTCTCATCTGTAAAATGTGGCTCATAATGCCTTACCCACTCAAGTGTGTTGAAGGAATAAATGGAAAAGATGAATGTGAAAGCCCCTTGTAAACTATAAACTGCTTTCATAAAGTTAATGTGAAGTGTTGATTGCAAGGTATGATGTGGTAATGATGCTGGTATTATTGTGTAACTATTACTATACAATCAATACCCCATTTGTCCCCTCATATCATTGAAGAAGAAAGGTATTCATGGGGAGGGGAGCTTTTGTTTTATCTTTTTGCAAATGTCATAACTTCAGTTGTCTCCATGGCCAAAGTATATTCATATTTTTTATGATACACCTTTTCTCTCTGGGCATTTTGCCATTTATTCCCTCATAAATCTACCTCCCCTATTCCAACTTCCTCCTCCCTCCCCCTCTGTGATCCTTCCTTCCTCTTTCCAGAACTACAGAGGACTCCTACGCCTGCTCTTGAGGTTGCAAAAGGTGCCCCAAAGCAGAGCCTAATGGCAACCCTGCTTTTACTTGCTTTAGCTTAAGAAAAGTGGCGCTCCTCTTTAGCAGAGGCTCGTTGTTTGTTCTCTCCCTTTTCCCCTGGTGTTTCAGCCATTCAGAATGTCAATAATTTACTCTAAGACAACACCGGGCCTGGGAGTGTCTGTTTATATGTGTGTGCTCACAAGACAGTGCACCACTGCACCGGAATGAGCCATGTTCTTCCTTATCAGGTGCGCCCAGGGGTGACTGCAAGACAGCAGCTGTCCGACCCTGCCTGACTCACTAGTGTTGCAATCTGGGAAATGTATTTCAGGCCTGTTTATCTCTGCCCAAGGCAGGGTCAAGCTTGACCCATGGGGCCTCTGATCTCAGGAGCAGCTTCTCCAAAGCAAGAAAATAGGCTTGGAGAGAGTATAATGCTTTGAGCGTGACACTAGACAGAATAAGATGACACTGGTCATTTGGTCATCAGTGGAAAGGCCCAGCCCAGAATCTACTCTGTCTCCAAAATTACTTGTTAACCCCTCTAGAACCAAAGTGAATTTATCACTGTCCCTGACTGGTGGGAAAACCCCCAGACACAGCCTCCTCGTTCCATCCGATGGTTTCTTATCAGAAAAGAGGGGATTTGTTGTTGTTGTTTTTGTTTTTTTATTTATTTTTTATTTTCATGTGTTATATATGACAGCAGAATGCATTAATTTCATATTACACATATAGAGCACAATTTTCATATCTCTGGTTGTACACAAAGTAGAGTCACACCATTCATGTCTTCATACCTGTACTTAGGGTAATGATGTCAATCTCATGCCACCAAGAGGTTTGTTTTGAGCTGGCCCACTGGCATCTGGGATCACAGGTGCAGACCCCTCCCAGAAGGTCATCATATCAGCAGTTTCCTTGCTGCTGTGGAAACGGAAGCTCAAGACTTATTGCAACTCTTCTCCATGGGACCTTGTCACAGTGTGTCCCCAGAGAAGCAGTCAGGAGAGCTCAGGAACACGCAGCACAATTCAGTGATAGCTTGAAGACAGAGAGCCCCTCTAGTCCTGGTTCTATCTGTTACCGAAAGAATCTTGGGCCAGGTCACCCAACCCTTATGCCTCAGTTTCCTCATTAGTAAACAGGATGACAGCTTCTGTACTCCCTTTGCCTGGATCCAACAGGAGATGTCGCAACCCTGATGGTGCTAGTCAGCTGGAAGGTATGATCCTATCCTCTCCCCTCACCACATCTCCACCCCAACACCAAACCTCAAAGAAGGAGTGAGCTTAGAAATATCACACACCTGTATCTAGGAAGCGCTCTCCTTGTGCCAGCTTGCCCTGGTTGGAGCCCTTTCTTTGCTGGTTGTGGCCTCCAGCATTTCCTTTGTTGCTGTCTCACCCCCATCTGGACATTGGAGGCCTCAGGCCTCTGCTTCTTATCTATAGGTGAGCCCCAGGTGACCTCCTCCAGTCTCAGCTTTAACTGCTGTTGTTGACTGCCTGCCTGACCAGCGTTCCTGAGAGAGGTCCTCACCCCTGAATTCCAGATATATACAGCTGCTCCTGTGGCATCTCCTCATGAGCCAGAATACACTTCAGATACCTGCCCCCGACCTCTTCTTCACATAGTTTTCTTCATTTAAACAAATGGCAACTATTAAGCTGAGATATATGAAATCGCCTGTTGTTTTGTTTTGTTTGTGCTGGGGATTGAACCCAGGGGTGCTTAACTACTGAGCCATATCCCCAGCTCTTTTTATATGTATATATATTTTTTGAGACAGGGCCTTGCTGAGGCTGGCTTTAA